CCCAGCCGGGGGAGAGCTCCCGCCTTCCAAGGCTTGCAAGAGGTCTCTTCAATCCCTATCCCTGCCTGGCCACGCTGGCTGTGGCTGATGGGGGTCGTAGTCTGGAAGGGGGTCGTCGGGGAAGGGCAGAGTGGGACGTGAGGAAGAAAGAAAGGACGCGTCTGTGCACGTGTGCGCGAAGGCTCTGGATACTTAATTGTTGTTTTTTCTCTAAAGGACCATCCCTGCGGTGCTAAGTGGCAAAAGCCACCCGGCCTGGCCCACCTGCTTGCCAAGATGACTCTTTTCCACTTCGGGAATTGTTTTGCCCTGGCCTATTTCCCCTATTTTATCACGTATAAGTGCAGCGGCCTGTGAGTATCTTTCTTACTTGGAAGAGGGTGTGTGTGTGCATGTGCATTATGGGCTGGTAGTGACTGCGAGGGAGAATTTGTGGCTGCTTACAATATCTGGGTCTACACCACATTTCAGAGACACTATCTAAACCAGTGTTTCTCAAACTTGAAAACTTTAAGCTGTGTGGACTTCAACTTCCAGAATTCCCCAGCCAGCATGTTGACTGGGGAATTCTGGAAGTTGAAGTCCACACAGCTTAAAATGGCTAAGTTTGAAAAACACTGAACTAAAAGATCTCTTTAGCCCCTTTTATGGTATTTTCTGGCTGAGTTCAACTGCCCAGTGGTCTAAACTAATCAGCTTTTATTTACTGGCTCATGGCTGGCTAGGGAATTCTGGGAGTTGAAATCCATAAATTTTAAAAGTTGCCAAGTTTCAGAAACACTGTTCTAAATGGTGCTTTGAGAGCCTGGGAGTTTGCACTGGCGTGTAACCCCTGAAAGCCCCAGCATGTTTTGCAAGATGGTGCAGCAACCTTTTGGTTCATTGTTAATGGTGTAATTGCCAGCCTGGTGTGCAAAAATAGAGATTTTATCCAAGGCTTGGTTGTGCTGTCTCTCTCACATAGGTCAGAATATAATGCCTTCTGGCGATGTGTGCAAGCAGGAGCCACCTACCTCTTTGTCCAGCTGTGCAAGGTATGGGCTAACATGCCTTGCTGAAGGAGGGATGAAGGGTTGAATGTGAACCTGGGTCCAAAAATATGAGGCCTATAATAGCAAAAAGCTGTTGTGGTAGATTATTCTCTTTTTCTCTTTTCATTCTCTTTCCCTCTTTTACAGATGCTGTTTTTAGCTACGTTCTTTCCAACTTGGGAGGGTGGTGCAGGAGCTTATGATTTTGTTGGAGTAAGTTTGGCTGTTGGCAAGGAAGGAAGCTGGCATTTTGTGTACTGCCAGGTGCTCAAGAGGCTGGTGTGTTTGCAAAACAAAGATCCAAAGGACAGCGATCTTTTTCCCGGTGGATTTTTCTGTGCATTTCCATCAGGGATTGACAATATGTGCCCACATTGCTTCAGTGGAATCTCCCAATTAAATAATTTTGTTTAAAACACTGGGTAAAACCTCAGAGGTTACCGAATCCTGCGAGATTTTCTTGCTGCTGCTGAGATCTTATGACCATTTCAGGTGCTGAGGGCATTCTTCTGTGAGATCTTGAGAGTACGATCACCAAAATCTTTCGAGATTTGGTGATCCTGTGGGGATTGCAGCCATTTTTGAAACTGAAATTTCATGTTCGCCTTTGGGGACCTATTCCTGAAAAGGTTAGCATCCTCTTCTTCGCTATGTAAAATGCTCAAGGCGGCAGAAAGTTTTGTTAAACAGCCATCTACCTCCCTAAGTAAGACCATCTGGCTGAGAATGATACCTTTTGAGTGCAGAGTACTTTGGGGTTTGAGCACGTTACGGTGGCGGGTGAGTACATTTTGTGAATCTGCAGTAACCTAGCTTCCATTAGCAAATAATAATCGTGTAAGTTGTTGGAGCATAACTCTGAATACTGGCTGCTGCCTGTAGTTCATGTTCAGGGGACCTTGCTGAATGCTCTTTGGAAGCACTCCACAGCAGTGCTGTTGGGTTAGAGGTTTTGCAGGAGGGGAACCTTGGGGGTTGAAACAGCCTGCCGAGTTGGCTTGTCTGCTTCTGAGCTTTTTCTTGTGCTTCAGGAATTCATGAAAGCCACCGTAGACTTGGCTGACTTGGTGGGTTTGCACCTGGTGATGTCCCGGAATGCGGGGAAGGGGGAATACAAGATCATGGTAGCTGCCCTGGGCTGGGCCACGGCGGAGCTCATTATGTCTCGGTGAGTTGGGTTTATAGAAATGGGGGTGGAGCTCAGAAGAGGGGTGGGAGAAGCTAGATTGGCCTTTGCTTGCCCGCTTTTTTATGCCTGCTCAAGGATGCAGCCTGTGAAGCTGCTGTGCAAAGTTATGTATTCCTCTCTCTATGGTGTGTCCCATCCTAACTGCCTCTGTGCTCCCACAGATGCATCCCACTGTGGGTGGGAGCTCGTGGCATTGAGTTTGATTGGAAATACATTCAGATGAGTATTGATTCCAACATTAGCCTGGTAAGTGCTACTTTTCTCCCTGTTTTGGTTGAGCTTCTCTAAAATAATACCTCATACGACAGGATTTAATTACTGAGGACTAGGAACTTATGATGTGTTTGGGGGTCTTGGTAATGTATGAGGCCCGCCTCCCCACTGTATACATTTGGATTGGCTATCTAGTTAAAAGATTGGAATCAATCAGTTGATTAGATCTGTTGAACTTTGATTAGAACTGTTGAACTTTGCACGTGAAAGAGTAAAATAGTATTTCCCAGATAGGATGGTCATATGCTTTCATGCATTTACTAGATTTAATTTTAAAACACTATTTCATTAATACAGTTTTTTTTTTTTAATGTAGGTAGCTGGGAAGTAAGCGAGATCATTCTGTGAATGTGGAGCTTTCCAAACATGACTCCAACAAATACTTTCCCAAACTGTTTTTGGGTAGAAGAAAAGTCTAAGGAATAGTGCTTTCCCCAAGAGCCAAAATGGACGCTGAGCAAGCTCAGGGGCCAGGAAAGCACACGGGGGAGCCTGAGCATAGAGGGCAATGAAAGGGAGGATATTGGACAAGGGCAGAGCTGGCTGGCCAGATAGCATTGGAAGAAACATATTGGCATTTTATGCTGCAGTGTTTTATAAGTCCCAGTTGAGTTGCACCTGCTTGATAGTTCTGTTTCAGAAAGCATTTGGGAATCTTTCCTTCTCCCTTCTTTTGTGTCCCTTCAGGTTCATTATATCGCCACCGCTGCCCTGGTGTGGATGTTCACCCGCTATGATTTACCCAAACATTACCGACTGCCCCTTACTTTCCTCCTGGGTGTCAGTGTCTACAAAGCCTTCTTTATGGAGTGAGTGCTCATGGTGGAATTAATGTGGCAGAGGGAGCTGGCGGGGGGACATCATTTGGAGCTCATTGAGGAGGGGAAAACATTGGGAACTTGCAGACCCTATGTTCAAATCCTTGCATCCCCTTTCATTTTTTTCTCCGTATAAAAATAATTTCTTCCAGCAGCTTAAGTCATTAAGTGACCTTTATGCGAGAGTGAGGAATTGAAGCTGTGCTTCCCACATCCTCACCATGGCCCCTTTCTTTTAAAATTCCTCTTGTATGGTGGAACCAGAAACAAGACTCTTCTTTGCTGAAATGCTTGGAGAACTTTCCCTTCTCAATGTTTGTGGTGGGTCAAAAAAGTAAAGATGGGGGGAGTGATCAGAACCACCATCTTGACTTTTTTGATCCTCCCCCAGTGGATGCCCCGCTCTGTGGTTGCCTTTGGTTGTATTCATCCAACACAGTAAGTCATCACGTGGCTCGTTGGGTCTTGTTTTTGTGTTACAAACTCAACAATCGTGTTTTGTAAAGGAGAGTTGGTTGCTGACCACGTGTGTGAGTTCAGCTAAAAGCAGTTAATTCTCAAATGCTGATTCACTGTACCGTGATTCACCGTGATGTGCAAATCAAGCTTTGGATATTGAAGCAGCAGTGGTTTCTTTGCCAGTCTTCCAATCTCAGGCCTCACCTACTTCTCTCTGCTTTTCTAGATCGTTTGTGCACGTCTTTCTCCTGGGTAGCTGGACCGCACTTTTGGTCAAAGCAGCGATCACTGGCCTCCTTTCCTTCAGCTCCTTGACTCTCTTTGTCACCCTGGTGCACAGTAACTGAGGTTCCAATGATTGTTACTCCAACTTGGGAGACCTCTCGTTTGTGCATCCTAAGATCGTTCCGCTACGGATTCCGTTTGCAAGGCTGTGCGTGACTTGATCCTTCCTGCTGTGAGATCGGTTCCAGTCATGGTCTCTGTGACATTCCGATACATGATACTAATTTAAAAAGTATTATTTACATTTTGCCCGGTTTGAATCCCTTGGCTGTTGTCTAAACATGCTTCCTACACTATGATGGTGTTTATACAATCTGCTAAGCCAGCAAGACTGGCTGACACATACCACTAAACCAGCAAGTACACACGACCATTTCATATCCTTAGCCTGTTCGGTCTTAGAGTTGTCGTGTTGCGTTGGCATCCGTAACCAGCCACGATGATGTCAAAATGACAGCACATCATAAGGCCATCATACAAAAGGTGCCACATATTACTTGCGTTATGACATTGGATGCAAGTATGTGAGTTGTATTGCAGTTCTATCGTTGCATTGCGATGTACCTGTCATTATTCTTCCCTTGTAGATACTGTTGCCATATTATCTAACCTAAAACTGGTTGCAGTTTGAGGTTTGGAGAAACTGGACAGTAACGCCACAATGAATTTTAATGATAACATTTGAATTACATCCAAAACTCAGGTTATTTAGGGTTTGGTCAACATGAAAGGTTTGTGGTTAAAGCCATATGTAGCTGGGGGTAAAATGGCAAAATTAAAACTAGGTTTTTTGGTTTGGCTTGTTATGGGGATAATAAAAAGGGTCTTGATTTTTCTCTTTGCATGTGGCAACAGTGAATGGATGCTACTTTTGCTAGGGGCTATCATGATGGAGGATGTTGTGATGTAGATCCCAATAGTGATGGGAAACACAAGGTTACATGGACAGTCACCATCTTCTGAGAGTGCCCTCTCGTCTGCGTGACTCTTGGCAGCAAGAGAGTTCTCCCCACTCTGCAAACCATTTGTGTGTTGTTCAGGGAATATGAACAGTTACTGGCTTGATTTAAGGAGCATTAGGGTGACACTGTTTGAAAACCTCTAGAATGTTTTTCAAATCCATGTGCATATATATCCATTTGTCCTTCCTACTTATAAAGTGACAGAAGCTGAAAGATGCATTTTTGTCCCAAGGCATATACAATTCCTATATTTAGCTCTTTTGATAGTAATGATTGACAAACATGTACAGTTATATGAAGTATGCTAGCCCAAAGTGGGTAAGTGTGACTCTTGGGGTGTGTTCAAATTGTTCTGCAGGGACTGGGTTCTTAAAAGCTATTAAAAGAGACCTTGTGGGCACAATGACTCTTTCCTTTAATTCAGTCTTAAGAGTTAGTGGCTGGTGACTGAAAACTCCATATAGGTGAGTGAATGGACTGGAGAAAGAGGAAGGGATCATTCTCTTTATTCACGGTGTGGTAGCCATGGAGGAAGGGAAGTGTCTCACAAGTAAAGGAAGTGGTTTGGTGGTGGTGGTATGATGTGTCCATTTGATAACTCGCATCCGTTACAATGACGACAGAATAACATCATTATGCAAACAACACAGTTATTGACTTGCATCATAAAGAATGGTACAAGTATGTAAGTCATGCTGTTTGCTTGGTACATATGATGCGTGTATCCTCTTAATCTTTTTCCTCATTGCAGTCCATTGCACTGTAGGATAATTGGAACTTGGAGAACAGAAACTATGTTTTGATAGCTTCATTGTCTGGTTATCCTGAACTGAGGCTGCTTGCCGGTGTATGTGTTCCTCTGTTTTCCTTTAATGTACTGTGTGAAATTTCTCCTGCTGGGTAATCTTTGTGCTTCAGGAACTACTCATCCAAGCAGACTGAAAGTCCAAATCATGCAGAAGTCGAAAGTGATACCAGCGTGCCATTGTGTATTTTATATAAGTTTATTTAAATTCTGCTTTTCATATGTAGAGGGAAGACCTAAGCAAACCTCTTACTCAACCTGTCCTTGTTTCTTCCTTGAGATTATACTGCCTTGTTTACACACTCTTTGAGATTTATCATGGGGGGTTGAAACTTGCTATGCTTTTTTTTTT